CAACAATAACCTGCTGAAGGCGGTGGTCCCACATCAACTGCCCTTGAGGTGGATGCCGAAGACCCAGTGCATCTCGAGCAAACACCGCAACTCCGCCTGAGGGAACGCTTCCTGACGTACGACGGGCAGGTATGGCAGAGCATTTCCACTGTCGGTTCTGAGCCCAGGAGTAGAGATCATCCAAGCTGTCCTCGGTGTATCCTATCTCCTGGCAAAGAAGTACCGTAGCTTTCGTCCTGTGCAATCGTGTCTTCAACGTGTCGCGGCCTCCCGAAGCATTGAAGGTTTCAACCAAGAATGTGCCTTGAACGGCAGGCTGCACAGGACGTCGAACAGCTCCACCACATAGCCGCAGACCTGACATGAGAGGAAGGTCAGGAACGTTTCCTGCGCTTGGCCATGTCGCCGAGTGTCTTGGCAAACGCCTCTGCACCTGACTTGGCCGCCTCGAAGAGCTGCTCTCTCTCATCCTCCTCGAGCTCATCCAGGGAGCGCTTGAGGTCGCCGCCGCCGTCACCGCCAGCATTACCAGAAACATCATCAGGCGCCTGGGGCATGGAGGCATCCTTGGGGGCAGGCATCTTGCCTGCGAGGTGCTCACGGAGCTTGGCCCAGGCAGTAGACCCGAGCAGTGTTCGCACTTCCTCATCATCGCCATCGTCTGGCTTGACATCGAGCGGGTTGGACTCTGGCTTGTCCGTGGTTGTGCCGCCAAGCTGCTGTGCTGCCTGGCTGACCTCGGCGCGCAGCACCGTGACCTCGATCTTCTTGGCCTCCAGCGTGGCGCGCTTGTTCTTGAGGGACTCTTGCAGCTCATCGAGCTGCTTCTGCTTCTCATTGATGTCCGCTTCCAGCTTGGTGACTGCAGCCGTAGCCTTCTGCAGATCCGACGTGGCCCTGCGGTGCACCACGGCGGGGGTGCGCAGAGCCTTCTGCTGGTCACGTATTCCTTCAATCTTCCGCTGAATGCTCGAACGGAGCTCGTCGTTGTCCGAGCCGCGGGGGACCGACTTGAGACTAGCCTCGAAGCATGCCAGCTGGTTCGCAAGCTTGCGCTTCTTGGTCTGCCACGGTGGGGGTTTGGCGCTGGCCTCGCCCTCCTTGTCAGCAGGCTGGGTTGTCTGCCCGCGCAATAGCTTCTCGATCTCCGCCAACCGTTTGCCGAGCTCAGACGGCACAGTCGACGATAGGGCCCGCTGACTGGGGCCCGCGCTCTTGCCCTTGCCGCCACGGCCACCGCCGCCAGCAGCATGCTCCTTCTCCCAGCGCTGGTGCTGCTCCACGGCCGTCTTGCGGATGCGCAGCGGGGCCTCCCGCCCACAGGCGCATCGCACACGGCAGGCCCAATTGGAGTGTGCCACGCCGCAGGCCCCGCAGGCCCACGTCGGCCACCTGGGGCCGCGCAGGACATCAGGCAGGTCAGGCGGCGGCGGTGCCATCGGCCGCCGCACTGGGATGGAGCCAGCACTGTCGGGATGATCGTAGATATTGGCCCGCAAGCACGAGCCGCACTGAAGATACGTGCTTGCAAGCACAGGAGACTCGCCTGTGCCAGTACGGCTGGAGGAGGAGGAGGAGGAGGAGGAGGAGGAGGAGGAGGAGGAGGAGGAGGAGGGGGAGGAGGAGGAAGAGGGGGAGCCAGGGGCTTGCCTTCGCCAGGGCTTGCTTCGCCGGGGCTCCGACTCGCCGAGGCTCGCCACAGGGCCTGGCTCGCCACAGGGCTCGCGGTCCTTGCCTGCAGCTCGCTTCGCCGAGGTTCCGACTCGCCGAGGCGCGGACATCGCCCCCGGGGCTCGCTTCGCCGGGCATCGTGTCGCCGGAGTCTCCTCGTTTCGACGGAGGCGCGTTTCGCCGGAGCCTCGCATCGCCGCAGGCTCGTCTCGCCGCAGGCTCGTCTCGCCGCGGGCTCGCTTCGCCGCGGGCTCGTTCCGCCGGAGTCTCGTTTCGCAGAGTCTAGACTCGCCAGGGCTCGTTTCGCAGGGGCTCGTTTCGCCGGAGTCACGTTTCGCCGGAGTCTCGTTACGCCGCGGGCTCGTTTCGCCAGGGCTGGTTTCGCTGAAGCTCGTTTCGCCGGAATCTCGTTTCGCAGAAGTCTCGTCTCGCCGGGGCTCGTTCCGCCAGGGCTCGCTTCGCCGGGGCTCGTTTCGCTGGGCATGTGCAGGATCCAGAGGGGCAGCAGGGCGGCCCTATGACGGCCGGGTCGGGTCGGGCGGGCGGACCCTGACGGGCGGGTCGCGCCGGGCGGGCGGGACATTCGAGCAGGACGCTTCATCGAGCTGGCACGCGCAATCCCTAACGGGCCCGACGGGTCGGGCGGGCGGACCCTAACGGGCGGGTGGGGTCGGGCGGGCGGGGGGGGGGGGTCGGGTCGGGCATGGGGGACATTGAGGTAGGACGCATCATCGAATCAGCACGCGCGAACCCTCACGGGCGGGTCGGGTCGGGCGGCTGGACCCTAATGGGCGGGTCGGGTCGGGCGGACGGGACAGTAAAGTAGGGTTCATCATCGAGTTAGCACGCGCGAACCCTAACGGGCCGGACGGGTCGGGCGGGCGGACCGTAACGGGCGGGTCGGGTCGGGCGGGCGGAGCTGGGCGAATCGAGATTCGGGCGAACTGAACCTGGGCGAATCGAGCTGGGCAATTCGAGCCCCGGAAGAATCGAGCCGGGCGAATCGAGCCCCGAGCGAGTCGAGCTGGGGCGAATCGAGCCCTGGGCGAATCGAGCAGGGCGAATCGAGACGGGCGAGTCGAGCCGGGCGAATGGAGACTCCGGCAATTCGAGGCGGGTGATTCGAGCTGGAGCGAATCGAGCCGGGCGAATCGAAACTCGGGTGAATCGAGACTCGGGATCAAGCCGGGCGAATCGAGCAGGGCGAATCGAGACTCGAGCGAATCGAAACGGGCAAATCGAGCCGGGCGAATCGAGCCATGCGAATCGAGCCGAGTGGATCGAGACTACGCGAATCGAGCCAGGCGAATCAAGCCGGGTGAATCGAACTGAGCAAATCGAGACTTGGCGAATCGTTCCGGGCGAATCGAGCAGGGCGAATCGAGACTCGAGCGAATCGAAACGGGCAAATCGAGCCGGGCGAATCGAGCCATGCGAATCGAGCCGAGTGGATCGAGACTAGGCGAATCGAGCCGGGCGAATCAAGCCGGGTGAATCGAACTGAGCAAATCGAGACTTAGCGAATCGTTCCGGGCGAATCGAGCCGGGCGAATCGAGACTCGGGCGAATCGAGCCAGGCGAGTCGAGCTGGGCGAATCGAACCGGGCGAATGGAGACTCGGCGAATGACGACTCGGGCGAATCGAGACTCGGGCGAACCAAGCCTACGCCCTTCCTCCCTCCCTCCTTCCCTACCTCCCTTTCTCCATCTCCCCTTCCTCCTCGTCCTCCATTCTGTCCCCACTCCCTCCTTCCCTCCCACCTCCCTGCTCACTCACTCGCTCCCCTGGGTCTCGTCTGATCCTCCCTCGCTCCCTCCGTTCATCTCCTCCCCTGCCCGTGCTTCACCCTCCGCGTCCCCGGAATACGCATCTACGTCCGGTTCGGGGCCCCCTCTGGGCCTCGCCAAGGGGTTCTGCTGGGGGCCGTGGGAGCCTGCCTCGCACATCTGGGGGTTGACGCCTCGGGCCCTGGGGCACCTCCTGCAGCACGCCGACTGGCTCGCCATGAGGGCAGCGGGTCTTGACCAGAGAAAGCGGCATGGCCATCAACTTCTGACGGTCCGCGCGGATCTCTTGGATTTGCGCTGGGCCCCCCTCCCTGGCGCGCGGAGCGCGCCAGGGGCGGCGCTAGAAGCGCCGCCAGGAGGCTCCAGCGCAGATCCAAGAAATCTGCGATCGACCGTCGAAAATTTATGTGCATGCCGTGCCTGTTCTTCAGTTGAGGAAGCCTGCTCCTGGGCCCCGAGGCTGCCCCCCCCCCCCCCAGGGCAAATTCTCATCCCTGGTACCCGTACAGTCGGGGTTGACTGGAGGGGGCACGCAAAGGACACGAGACCCCTCCGAGAGCCAGATTGCCATAGGAGTGGGGAAGACATGGGCCGCGGACCACAGGACACGAGGGTGCCCTTGATTTGGCAGAGTCACCCTTCTGACCTCAGGGGGTCTTGAACAGGCCCCCTCTGTGCGAGGGCGCGGGGGAGGGCGGCACGAGGAGGAGGGCGAGGAGGGAGAACGAGGAGGAGGGCGAGGAGGGGAGGGACCAGAAGGGGAAGGCCGAGTTTGACTCCCAGACGAGAGCTTAGGGGGGCAGAGGGGTAGCCTTAAGTCGGGCGCGTCCCCCTACAGGGGGATCTTCGACGAAAAATACCCCAAGACGGTCAAAAAAATCCCAAAGAATAGTCCCCAGACGATGTTTGGACCATTCTTTGCCTATTTGTGGGGGGCATCTTTTACTTTTCGTCGAACATCCCCCTGGTAGAGGGGGACAGGCCCGACTTAAAAAGGGTAGCCTTCAAAAGACCCTCTGAGGTGCACCGGCCTCGGCTGCAGCTCTGGACGGCTCCAGGGCCCCGGGGGGAGGCCGACCGCGGCTGAACGCCACGGGCCCCCTTCTCGTCCACACTGCAGGGCAGTTTTTAATACATGGGATTTAAAAAAAACGGCACTGTACCTCTCCTCACTGAAGGGGCCCAGTGGCAGCACAAGAGCAAGGGCACGCAGGTCCCAGGGTTCCAGATCTGTTCCCATGCTTTCGGGGTTCTCGTCTGCCCCCCCCACTTCCCATGTTCCCCCAGATGCCCCTGGGAATCGACGATTCATTGTGTTTGTGTTTTTGTTATCTCTCCTTCTGATTCACGGCGAGTTGCGGCTCGGGGCCCTGGGGTCAACCCCGGATCTGTCCAGGTGTGCGTTGTGACGAGAACCTCAGGGGAAGCGCAGCCGCGGTGACGAGAAGCCTCCTGGAGCCCACCCGAAGAGGAGCACACGTCCTCGGGGACCTCGATCGCTGGCGTTCGTCGACGGTTCCCCTCGCGGTGGCCCGCGCGTCCTGCAAATGGCCCTGCAGCTGGTGTCCCGGATCGAGGCTTCGCTCCGCTTCCGCGCCGCGAAGAGCTCGTGCTGGGCCCGCGGCCCACCACACGAGCCGCTCAGGGGCCGGGGCCGCGCACACCACCGAAGAGAACCCCCCAGGGGCCAGACTGCAGCCCGAAGGGCCCCAGAGCAGGCGATCGCATTGCGCCGTAAACTTTTTGGACCGAGGATGAGGAGGAGGATGAGGAGGAGGAGGAGGAGGAGGAAGAGGAGGAGGAGGAAGAGGACCGAGGTCCGAAGGGCCCCAGAGCAGGTGATCGCATGGCGCCTGTGCCTCTGGAGGTTCCCTTTCTCAGTTGTCCGTGCGGAGAAGCAACGGCGTAAACAGAAACTGTGGAAGCTCCGCGCGGATTGCCTGGATTGGCGCAGGGCTCCCCGTGGCGCTCTCTACACGCCAGCAGCGGCGCCAGAGGCGCCGCCAGGGGGGTCCCAGCACCGACCGAGGAACCCGCGCGGAACTCCAAAAGTGTATACTTGTGTGTGTTGCGTCTTCTTCTTCCTTTGGGGGGGGGTGCGAGGCGGGGATGTATCCATATCCACCGCCTGGGAACCGACGTCCTGGGGCCCCAGCGGGCAGTGGATACGGATATATTTCGGTCCCCGGGGGCCCGAATATGTCCATATCCACCGCCTGCCGAGGCTCCGAAAACTGACCCTCCAGGCGGTGGATACGGATAAATTCCCGCCTCGGAGGGGGGGGCGAGACAGAATCAGTGAGGCGCCGCGGTGGGGAACCCGCCAGCGTGCTACCATTGAATGCACACCCCGCTTCCGGACAAAGTCGCAGCACGCTGACGGGCTCCCGCACGGCGGCGCACAGCCCGAGCCTGGGACAGAAGAGCACCCGTCAAGAAGACGAGACCCTCCGCCAGCCCAAACCGAAGAACACTCGAGGGAGCACCCTGCCCCAATGATGCACAAAAGCATCCAACAAGCACGCAGAACATGAGTGCACCCTCCCCGAACCGACCTCGATCGAGGAGGAAGAGGAGGAGGTGGAGAAAAAGCAGGAGGAGGAGGAAAAGCAGGAGGAGGAGGTGGAGGTGGAGGTGGAGGTGGGGGAGGATGACAGGAGGAGGAAGGAGGAGGAGGAGGACGAGGAGGGAGGATGAGGGGAGAGGAGGAGGAGGAGGAGGAGGAGGGAGGAGGAGGGAGGAGAAGGATGATGAGGAGGAGGAGGAGGAGGACCCGACCGACAGGTTGGACCCCCGCCCTGCAGCGGGGCAGGTGGGCCGCGGTGGCTGGGTCAGCGGCGCGGCCACAGGCGCGGCCGCCGCTGCCCTCGGCCCTGGCGGCGCCGCCGCTGCTCCCCGCTTCGGGGCCGGTTCCAGTCTGCGGGGCGGCTGCGGCTCCTTCTCCTCCTCCTCCAGGTCCTCTGGGGAGAGGCGACTCGGACAAGCTCCTCCTCTCCTCCTCTCCCTCCTCCTCCTCCTCCTCCTCCTCCCTCCTCCTCCTCCTCCTCCTCCTCGCGCCGCCTCCTCCTCCTCCTCCTCCTCCTCCTCCTCATGTTCCTCCTCTTCCTCCTCCTCCTTTCCTCTTCCCCTCCCGGGTCAGGGCTCCTCCTCCTCCTCCTCTCCCCTCCTCCTCCTCCTCCTTCCTCCTCCCCCCCTCTCCTCCTCCTCCTCCTCCTCTCCCCTCCTCCTCCTCCTCCTCCTCCTCCTCCTCCTCCTCCTCCTCCTCCTCCTCCTCCTCCTCCTCCTCCTCCTCCTCCTCCTCCTCCTCCTCCTCCTCCTCCTCCTCCTCCTCCGCCTCCTCCTCCTCCTCCTCCTCCTCCTCCCTCCTCCTCCTCCTCCTCCTCCTCCTCCTCCTCCTCCTCTCCTCCTCCTCCTCCTGCCTCCTCCTCTCCTCCTCCTCTCTTCCTAGCCTGAAACCCCGTCCTCCTCCACCTCCAGGCCCTGTTGGAGAGGGACTCTGAACGCCCAGCATCTCGGACAGACTCCTCCACCTCCTCCTCCTCCTCCTCTCCTCCTCCTCCCCCTCCTCCTCCCTCCTCACTCCTCCATCTTCAGCCTTCCCCGAACCCGGGCGGGCGGACAAACCGGGCGGGCGGACATCCCTGACACGAGACAGGGGACGCACAGTCCGAGGTGTGGGAGCGCGGGCAGCAGCGGTGACACGAATCCCCTGTCATCGTATCAGCGCAACCGCAGAACAAGAGGGAGGAGGAGGAGGAGGAGGGGAGGAGGGGAAGGAAAGGAATAAAGAAGCGGCGCGGGCACTCACAAGTAATAAAAAACAGGTGGGAGTACAAGTAGACGTAGCACGTGTGCTAATAGCCGGCCCCGGGGTGGGTGGAGGCCGAGGGGTGCCTGGGGACGGGTACCGCTGTACCGGAACGCCCAGGAATCCAACTGCGCAACATCCCGCACCCGGGCTTTGCATTGAATTCTGCTTCGCCGCGCCGCACTGGCGCCAGAGCTGGGGTTGGAGACGGAATTGGAGGAGCTGGAGTCGGAACCGGCGTTGGCGCCGGGGTTGGTGGCGGCTTCGGCGCATGCGCCAGGTGAAACGGAGGCGGAATCGGAGCCAGCCAAGGAGCTGGAGTCGGAGTGATGATGCTGTTGCCTGAAGCGCTGGTGGAGAGAAGTATGCCGGTGGCTGTCCTGGTCGGAGCGGGAGTCGCTTCTTTTGTTTCCATTTCGTCGATTGCCACCGCTGCCAGTCCCCCTCGTCCTCCTTCCCCTCTCTTCCTGTCTTCTTCGGCGGCGAGTACGGCCTAAATCCACGGATAGGCCGGTGCAGCCAAAATTTGTACAATGGCCTGGCCCCAGGCTGGCACCAGCAGGTCGGAGCGGGAGTCGGCAGCCGCTTGGTCCAGACCTCCCGGGGGCGTGGTCGGTGAGCTGGTCGATGCGGGAGTCGGTGTGCTGGTCGGAGCGGGAGGCGGTAACCGTTTGGTCCAGACCTCCCGGGGGCGTGGTCGGTGAGCTGGTCGATGCGGGAGTCGGTGTGCTGGTCGGAGCGGGAGTCGGTAACCGTTTGGTCCAGACCTCCCGGAAGGCGTGGTCGGTAGCTGGTCGATGCGGGATCGGTGTGCTGGATCGGAGCGGGAGTCGGTAACGTTTGGTCCGACCTCCCGGAGGCGTGCGGTCCGGTGAGCTGGTCGATACGGGAGTCGGTGGCGCTGGGTCGGAGCGGGAGTCGGTAACCGTTTGGTCCAGACCTCCCGGGGCGTGTCGGTGAGCTGGTCGTGCGGGAGTCGTGTTCTTGTCGGAGCGGGAGTCGGTCAACCGTTTGGTCCAGACCTCCCCAGGGCGTTGTAGGTGAGCTGATCGATGCGGTGTCGGTGTGCTGGTCGGAGCGGGAGTCGGTAACCGTTTGGTCCAGACCTCCAGGGGGCGTGGTCGGCGCGCTGGTCGATGCGGGAGTCGGTGTGCTGGTCGGAGCGGGAATCGGTAACCGTTTGGTCCAGACCTCCCGGGGGCGTGGTCGGTGAGCTGGTCGATGCGCTGGTCGATGCGGGAGTCGATGTGCTGATCGGAGCGGGAGTCGGTAACCGTTAACCGTTTGGTCCAGTCCTCCCGGGGGCGTGGTCGGTGAGCTGGTCGATGCGGGAGTCGGTGTGCTGGTCGGAGCGGGAGTCGGTAACCGTTTGGTCCAGATCTCCCGGGGGCGTGGTCGGTGAGCTGGTCGATGCGGGAGTCGGTGTGCTGGTCGGAGCGGGAGTCGGTAACCGTTTTGTCCAGACCTCCCGCGGGGTGGTGGTCCAGGTGAGCGCGGTTCGATGCGGAGTCAGGTTTGTTCAACGCTGGCGTCGAGCGGTAACCGTTTGGTCCAGCACTCCGGGGCGTGGTCGGTGATCTGGCGATGCGGAGTCGGTGTGCTGGTCGGAGCGGGATTCGGTATCCGTTCGGTCCAGACCTCCCGGGGGCGTGGTCGGTGAGCTGGTCGATGCGGGAGTCGGTGTGCTGGTCGGAGCGGGAGTCGGTAACCGTTTGGTCCAGACCTCCCGGGGGCGTGGTCGGTGAGCTGGTCGATGCGGGAGTCGGTGTGCTGGTCGGAGCGGGAGTCGGTAACCGTTTGGTCCAGACCTCCCGGGGGCGTGGTCGGTGAGCTGGTCGATGCGAGTCGGTGTGCTGGTCGGAGCGGGAGGCGGTAGCCGTTTGGTCCAGACCTCCCGGGGGCGTGTTCGGTGAGCTGGCCGATGCGGGAGTCGGTGTGCTGGTCGGAGCGGGGGTCGGTAACCGTTTGGTCCAGACCTCCCGGGGGCGTGGTCGTTGAGTTGGTCGATGCGGGAGTCGGTGTCCTGGTTGGTGCGGGGGTCGGTAACCGTTTGGTCCAGACCTCCCGGGGGCGTGGTCGGTGAATTCACCGACCAGTGAACTGGTCGATGTGGGGGTCGGTGTGCTGGTCGGAGTGGGAGTCGGTATCCGTTCGGTCCAGACCTCCCGGGGACGGATACGGTGCGTGATGTGATGAGGGGGGCAGGATTTGTCCGCCCCCTGTCGCGTTAGCCGCCCCGCGTCGAAGTCGGAGTCGGAATTCGGGCGGGCGCTGAGGTCGGAGCCAGTAGCTTCCGTGCAGTGCACGAGAGGATAATCGGCGCGGGTGTCGGAGCCCAGCCTGCGTTACCACAGTGGCCCCTCCCCCGTGCCAGAGAGGCCCGACCAAACCGTATGTATGCCCTGGGATGACCTCCGGCTCGGAGTCGAAACGGTGTGGTTGGAGCCGGCGTATGCGTGGGTCCGTTGTTGGTGTTCTGCTGCGAGTCCATTGTTTTGGGTTGGCTGCGGGTCGGCAGTGTCCCGGGTATGTTGCGTGGGACCGTTGTTGTGGGGCTGGGATGGACCAGTTGTTGTGGGTCTGTGTAGGGTAGACGTGTGTCGGCTATGGTTCGACTTTGTTGCGTGGGCCTGTGGCGGTGGGTCGGCAAGGGGTCGTTGAGAAATGAGTCCGTGGCATGGGTCGGTTCCTGTCCGCGTGCTGCGGGTCGGTAAACTTCGGGTTTGCTGCGGTGAACGGTTGCAGCGTGTCTGCTGCGTGCTGGCTACTGTGAGTTATGCTCGTGAATAGCTGCTCGAATTTCCGCCCCATCTGGAGTGCACCGTCTTTGTAGGAAGTTGTTGTGCGGGGCGGCTGCTGAGGCGGGGCGGCCGCTGAGGGTCAGCTGTGGGGTGGCTGCGGTTCGCTGCGCGGGTTGGGCGTTGTGGGCCTGTTGTGTGGCGGTTACGTGGGTCTGCTGTGGACCGGCAGTGGGGCGGTCGCAGTTGGAGGTTGTTGCGAGGGTCGGTTGGTGCGGGTCGGTCGTGGTTCGAGTTTGTTGCGTGGATCGGTTGTTGCGAGACTGCTGCGTGTCAGTTGTTGGTCCTGGAGGTGCCGTGGTATCCCGGTACCGGAGGTAGTGGATGGGAGGCGCTCGGGATCCAACGTCGGGCCAGGATGTGGGTGGAGGGCCCGTGTCCTCGAACGTCTTCGCGAAGTGCGGAGTTGTTCGGGGCTGGAGTCGGCGAGTTGGTCGGCGCGGGAGTCGGCGAGCTCGTCCGTGAGAGAGTGGATGAACAGGTCGGCGCAAGAATCGGTGAGCTTGTCGGTGCGGGAGGCGGCGAGCTGGTCGGAGGGGGGAGTCGATGAACTGGCCGGCGCGGAAGTCGGCAAGCTGGTCGGCGCGGGAGTCGGTGAGCTGGTCGGCGCGGGAGTCGGCGAGCTGGTCGGTGTGGGAGTCAGCTAGCTGGTCGGCGCGGGAGTCGGCGAGCTGATCTGCGCCAGATTGGCCTCCTGCCCGTGAGCTGGTCGGGGCGGGGGGCGGTGAACCAACCGGCGAAGGAGTGGGCGAAATGGTCGGCGCGGGAGCCGGTGAGCTGGTCGGTGCGGAAGTCGACGAGCTGGTCTGCACTGGAATCGGCGAGCCGGTCGGCGCGGGAGTCGGTGAGCGTGTCGGGTGGGAGTCGGTGGGATGGTCGGCGCGGGAGTCGGCGAGTCGGCGCTGTAGTCGCCGTGGGTCAGTTGCCGTGCGTCGGTACACCTCTGTAGGACATGATCCCTCCGCGCTTGGGCGTCCAAACCGTTACTCCTGCAGCCGCGACCCAGAAGCTAAGAAGGTGTCCCGTGACACACCAGGGTGTGATGAAGGTGAGTTGCCAGGGCGGTCCTCCGCGAGCCTCAGGGAACAGGTTCGGAAGTAATTCGGACGGTCCCTACTATGTCTGCCTCGGCAAAAGGGGGGTGGATGCGGGTCAGCGGCCACATTTTGAATGCCCGGAGCCAACTGTAGGCCACTTCGTGTTCTTCGTCTTCCCAGAACACCATTCCCAGGCCACATTTTGAATGCCCGGAGCCAACTGTAGGCCACTTCGTGTTCTTCGTGTTCCCAGAACACCATTTCCCAGGCCACATTTTGAATGCCCGGAGCCAACTGTAGGCCACTTCGTGTTCT